CATTCCAATGCGGTTAAACCAAGCCCGGTCGAGATTCATGAGTACATACCCTTTTGGATTGAGAAGCCAAAAGATGATTTTGAGACATGGGTGGATCATATAAGAATGAGGAAAGCACAGAAGAGGAAGCTAGCGATTGCTGCTAATCATTTCAACAGAGATGAGAAAAAGGGTTTGGAGTATTTGAAGTATAACCACTTAGTCTCTGATCCTCCTGATCCAATGGCATTAGCTTCATTTTTTAGATTTACACCGGGTTTGGACAAGACAATGATAGGAGATTACCTTGGAGATCCTGATGAATTACATCTAAGTGTTCTTAAAAGCTTTACACATACGTTCGAGTTCACGGGTATGAATCTTGATACCGCGTTGAGGACATTCCTCGAGTCATTTCGATTACCGGGAGAGTCTCAAAAGATTGAACGTATGATTGAAGCTTTCTCCGAGAGATTCTATGAGCAACAGTCATCTGAGATCTTTGCAAGTAAAGACACTGTTCATATTCTCTGTTACTCGCTTATAATGCTCAACACAGACCAACACAATCCTCAAGTTAAGAAGAAAATGACAGAAGATGAGTTTATCCGTAACAACAGAGCGATTAACGCGGGAAAAGATCTTCCAAGAGAGTACCTCTCCGAGCTTTTCCAATCCATTTCATCAAACGCATTCGCTCTATCGACACATTCAGGTCCCGTGGAGATGAATCCAAACAGATGGATTGAGTTGATGAACAGAACAAAGACGACACAACCCTTTAGTCTCTGCCAGTTTGATCGGAGAATAGGGAGGGATATGTTTGCAACCATTGCAGGTCCATCAATAGCAGCTGTTTCTGCATTCTTTGAGCATTCGGACGACGATGAAGTGCTTCACGAATGTGTTGATGCTTTGATCTCTATAGCCAGAGTTGCACAGTATGGTCTTGAAGACATTCTTGATGAGCTTATAGCTTCCTTTTGTAAATTCACAACTCTGTTAAACCCTTACACTACACCCGAAGAGACTTTGTTCGCGTTTAGTCATGATATGAAACCGAGGATGGCTACTCTCGCGGTTTTCACGCTCGCTAACAACTTTGGAGATTCCATAAGAGGAGGGTGGAGGAACATTGTGGATTGTCTCTTGAAACTCAGAAAGCTTCAGCTTCTTCCACAGTCAGCCATCGAGTTTGAGACAACAGATGAAGAAGCCTTAAACAATGGTGGATCAGAACCGGACTTAAACAACATTGCTTCGACACAAGACGCGAAATTTAACCGAAAACAAGGCTCTAGTTTGATGGGAAGGTTCTCACACTTCTTGGCATTAGACAGTGTGGAAGAATCTGTTGCTCTTGGAATGAGTGAGTTTGAACAAAACCTTAAAGTTATAAAACAATGTAGAATCGGTCAGATATTCAGCAAGAGCTCGGTGTTGCCAGATGTTGCGGTGTTGAATCTAGGCCGTTCGCTTATCTACGCAGCTGCTGGTAAAGGACAGAAGTTTAGTACCGCGATAGAAGAGGAAGAGACCGTCAAATTCTGTTGGGATTTGATCATAGCCGTTGCTTTATCTAACATCCATAGATTCAGCATGTTTTGGCCTAGTTACCATGAATATCTACTCAATGTGGCAAACTTCCCACTCTTTTCGCCTATTCCATTTGTCGAAAAAGGAATTCCGGGTTTATTCAAGGTCTGCCTCAAGATTCTGGCTTCTCAACCTCAAGATTATCTACCAGAGGAGCTCATTTTCAGGTCCATAACGATAATGTGGAAAATAGATAAAGAAATCATCGATACATGTTATGACACAATAACAGAGTTTGTCAGCAAGATCATTACAGACTACTCTGCTAATTTGCAGACCCAACTCGGGTGGAAAAGCGTTTTACAGCTTCTTTCTTTGTGTGGAAGACATCCGGAAACCAAAGACCAAGCCGTGGATGCTCTAATCGGTTTAATGTCGATCAACGCCGCGCATCTCACGCAGTCAAGCTACGCTTATTGCATCGATTGCGCGTTTAGTTTTGTCGCCTTAAGAAACAGCTCTGTTGAGAAGAACTTGAGGATATTAGACCTCATGACAGATTCAGTTACAATGCTTGTAAAATGGTACAAAACCGCTTCTACGGAAACCGTAACTAATAGCTACAGCGTGGCAAGCAACGCGAGCAGTTCGTCATCCGCGGATGAGAACACATTGCGAGGGGTTAACTTTGTTCATCATCTTTTCCTGAAGCTCTCCGAGGCTTTCAGGAAAACGACCCTAGCGCGTCGTGAAGAGATAAGAAACAGAGCAGTGACGTCTCTTGAGGCAAGCTTCATAATGGGACATGAGGATCTTGGATTCACTCCCTCGGGGTGTATATACTGCATCGACCATGTTATATTCCCGACAATCGATGACTTGCACGAGAAGCTTCTAGACTATTCCAGGCGCGAAAACGCCGAAAGAGAGATGAGAAGCATGGAAGGGACATTGAAGATAGCCATGAAAATGCTCAAGAGTGTCTTCTTGCGTTACTTGAAACAGATTGTAGGAAGTGCTGAGTTTAGAACGTTTTGGTTAGGAGTTTTGAGGAGAATGGATACGTGTATGAAGGCGGATTTAGGAGAGTATGGAGATAACAAACTTCAAGAGGTAGTGCCTGAGCTTTTGACCACCATGATTGGTACAATGAAAGAACAAGAGATTTTGGTGCAAAAGGAAGACGATGATCTTTGGGAGATTACTTATATTCAGATTCAATGGATTGCACCTGCGCTCAAGGATGAGTTATTTCCTGACGAAGAGATTTAGACTCTATTTTTGTTTTCTTTTTTCTTTCATAGTGAATCTGTTATGCAATTTTGATTAGATGATATATCGTTAAACTTACTTTACTACTGCTCCTAGCCTCCTACGAAATTAACCATAACAAAAATTTGCAATGTCATCCCAAAATGTGGAAATAAAAAACGTGATTATGCAATCTCTTCAACGTGGTGATCTGTAATTTTCAGTCAAAACACAGTTCTGTTTTTCTCCTGAAAATTATAGAATTGTTTTTTTTTACTGGATTTGATGAATTTTTTTTTTTTTTGGTTATACACACGCTTTATATGGGACAATAATTGTTTCTC